TATATATATATATATATATATATAAGTATAGTCTTAAAATGTGCTATATTTATGGGATAAAGTGCTCAATATCAGAGATAGAGCATGTATAAATATAAAAGTGGACATAGAAGTCAACACTTAGAGGTGACAGTCTGTTTCATGCTAGATGCAGCCGTCAGGCCATGAGTGCTGTTATTTTTCTTGGCTGTTTATATATATACGGGTCAGTGGTGCATTGTTGGTAGTCTATTTTTGGCAGTTATTTTACCAGAAGTCGTTTATTTGTTTATTTATTTATTTGGGTTAAATAACCACAGACTTTTTGACAATTCCTCCCTTGAATCCATATTTAACAAAGCTAAGAAAGACTATGAAACAGCCCTAAAAGATAGCGGATTCCCAGCAACACTCACATACTCCCTACAGAACACAAAAAAGTCCAACAGGAAAAGAAATATCATATGGTTCAACCCACCATACAGCAAAAATGTAAAAACAAACTCTTACACAAACACTTCCCGGAATCAAGCACCCTACACAAAATATTCAACAAAAACACAGTAAAAATCAGAAACAATTGCACCAAGAACATAGCACAAATAATAAAAAAGCACAACAGGAAAATTATCAACAAACCACACGAGCAAATTAAACCCACGTGCAACTGCAGAATAAAGAACGAATGTCCCTTAAACAGTAATTGTTTACAAAACAACATAATAAACCAAGCCTTGATAAAATCACCTGATAATGAAGAAACATTTTACATAGGTGTAACTGAAGGACCCCGTAAATAAATAAATTATACACACAAAACATCTTTCACAAATAGTAAATATGCGATCAGTACAATGCTTTCTAAGTATATCTGGGAAATAAAAAAAAAAACGCACATCACACCAAAAATATCTTGGAAAATAAGAAAAAGATCATCAGCCTACAACAACCAATCAAAAACTTGCAAACTTTGCTTGGAGGAAAAAATAGCTATCATTACTTTCCCAGACCAAAATAAATTATTAAATAAAAGTCCGAGCTCATCTCAAAATGCAAACATGAAAACAAATTTTTATTACGTTACTTAAAAATCGAAAACAGAAAAAATAAAATAAAATAAAAATAAATAAATAAATAAACAAAATGACAATAAAATAAACAAAATTAATTAACCCAAACAAATTACCAAATCACACCTGTTAGAATAGACGAAATAGAATAAAAAAAACACAACGAACCAAAATAAACAAAGTAAATAATAAACAAATTAGCAAACCATGATGACCAAAATATTAGACTATAAAAATCAAACCAAAAAAAACGAACAAAAAATAGCTATAACTGTTATCTAATGGTAAATAAAAAAAAAATACTACGTTACTTAAAAATCGAAAACCGAAGAGAGAAAGTATACAGTATAACAAATGAATAATAACAAGTAAAATAAATTGACCTAAATTCATCCAAATAAATAAATAAACTAATCCCGATAAACTAACCGTTAGAAAAAACAAATAAAGATAATCAATCTAAATAAGTACGTGAAGTAATAAACAAATTTAAAACTGTTCCCACCAAAATAATAGTTAGAATGAACTACAACAAACAACCTCAAAATTGAATGAATAGCTTTAATTATCTTCCCAAACCAAAACAAAACTATCAAATAAGAGATATAAACAAATTTTTACTATGTTAATAAAAATACTGATTAAAAAATAAAAAATAAATAAATATATATGATAAGAAATAAAAATAAAAAATAAAAATAAAAATAAAAAACGAAAATGAATAAAAACAAGCAAAATAATTTAACGCAAATAAATAAATAAACAAATAAACGATTTCCGGTAAAATAACCGCCAAAATAGACTACTCACAATGCACCACTGACACGTATATATATAAATAGCCGAGAAAAATAACAGCACTCGTGGTCTGATGATTGTGTCTAGCATGAAACAGACTGTCGTCTCTAAGTGTTGACTTCTATGTTCACTTTTATATTTACACACACTCTATCTCTGATATTGAGCACTTTATCCCATAAATATAGCACATCTTAAGACTATATTTCTTCATATATATATATATATATATATATATATATATTGTACCAAGGATCATATTCTGAAAGTCAGGAATCTCGCATTGTCTATCTTAAAAACAACTTGAAAGAGGCCGTTTGACCAACACAATGGCCGACCAAAATTAACGACTAAAAAAACAAATGAAAACTACAGATAAAGGTCATTTTCTTCAGAAACAGTCATTCACTCCTGTTGTTCACTGCTACTAAGAAGCAGGGATTCTTTTTCTCCTGATATTGGCCTTGCTGGCCAAAACTAGCGGAGGAACCTAATTGAAATGATAAAACAAAAAATATTAATATACAACCCAGTATGTCTGAAAATTTCAATTTTTTAAATTTTGAATATTTTTTATTGTTCAAAACACACACACACACACACACACACACACACACACACACATATATATATATACATATGTGCGTGTGTGTGCATAGATATATGTGTGTGTATGTGTTTATATATATATATATATATATATATATATATATATATATATATATATATATATATATAAGATATATGTGTGTGTGCATACTTGAGTATATCGGCATTTATGTTGCACATATATGCAATTATCTTTTGAAATCTAATTAACTGCAGGTGTTTGTATCTTCATGATTCATCTTCCTGCCACTTCCCATGTGCAAAACAACATTAGATAAAAATATTTATTTCTAATTTCTTATAATGACATCTTATTGCATTAACAGCAGGTCTTCCAAGATTTTAAAAAAAATTTTTTTCTTTTTACCTAACTAGCTTATTTATTAGCAACAAAAACTCAAAATTTCTTAATATATTTGCAAATATGAATATAGCTTTTATAGAAAGTTATATTTTTCAAATATACATAGATACATCACTCTGTGTCACCCCTCTCTCAATACATATATATATATATATATATATATATATATGAAAATCTGCATATTATAAAGTTTCCTAAAAATAAAGTTCTCCTAATTCAAAGAAATGAATTAACAGTAATTTGTAGGCATTGTATAATGTTTACTTTAAAATATTGTTAAAAGAATTTGTCTATATTTCTGAGATGAGGTATTATGTACACCGTTTGCATTATTCAGGCTATTGTCCTCATCTTTGTCGCCATATTTATTACAACGTTCTGGCCTTCTTCAGGTGGTTGGAATGTCAAACTGAACCCTTTATTTTAACTGGGGTAGACTGTTCTAGTTCCACATGGCATGTTTATTGGATGTTAGTTATTAGTTATCCCCTGAAAATTCACCTATCCAAGTTCTCCACTGCCTTAACCGAGTATTGAACTCACACTCTTTGGGTCCTGTCACTGGATCTAATTAATGCCTTTATCCACTGTGCCCTTTTCAAAATTTTAACACATTACATTATTTTATTAGTACATAATGATCCACATAATATTTACTAAATTATTTAATGGTTTTGCTAACAATTACAGTCCATGTCATAACACTACCATTTCTTGTTTCCTTCTTTTAACAACAGGCATATCTGAATCGAATAAAATCAATTCTTTGGCTCATCTTACACTGTTCCTTCTGCTGACAAACATGTCTTCTTACAATTGATGTTTATTTAGTCCTTTCTTCTTGCTTTCATTTACTATCTTCTGTAGGAGAGCTTGTAGTTTCAGTACTCTTCTTTGTTTCTAATAAAATTTTCCTGTTTCTGTTTTTAATACTTTACTTACTTTTTGGAAGTTATCTATCATTATTCCAATGTACCTTTGCATTTCAGCATCATATTTTCCATCCTATCTTAAAACACTTCCTAGATATTTAAATTCTTGCAATCTTGACCTCCTTACGTCTAGTGTTAATCATTATTCGTAGGTCACATCTTACGCTGTTTCTTCTGCTGACAAACATACATTCTGTCTTCTTACAATTGATGTTTAGTCCTTTCTTCTTCTATTGTATGTGTTTATGTGAGTGTGGAGGTGAACTGAAAAGTTCTCAGCCTTACCAACAAATCCTTCCAAAAATATTCAGATGCTTAGTTATTCGGTCTGAGTTTGTGGAATGAGAGAAACTGCAAGTGCTGAGCATTGATTGACAACTGAACTCACTACAGTAGGAATAAACTGCTCACTCACCTACGGATCAAAGACATATACTCATGTCATTTTAATTACATGAAAGTTTATTAAACACTTACATAGCAAGAAGTGGAAAGAGAACAGTATTAAGTCTTTCTTTAAATAAACTTTTATTTTTAATTTTCTAAATGTTCAACAAAATAATATTTTCACTAAATTCCAAACTGATAAAATTTGCTTACTTTTCTAGTCTATGAGAATCTTTACCCAATTACAAGAGATATGTTAAGTCTTATTGTCTATAATTTGAAAAAGGGTGTTTATCATCCTAAAATTTCTTCAGACAATTGAACACATTCTTTTTTGTGATCACAATGTATCAGCTAATTCATTTTAATGCCTTCTTTAGATATATTATATGAAAGTAAAATGTGGGAAGAGAAAACAACCATCCACTTAAAGTCAAATTCAAAGAATATATAATAAAGACATAGAAAAAGGAAAGGTTAAAAATCTGTTCCAGATGATAAATAGGAAGCACTGCTGGAGAGTGAGTAATTTGAAAGAAGCTGCAGATGTCATAGTAATTTGCTTTACTCAACTGAGAATGAACTAGAGATCCCTTTCTTACCACTGTCTATAAAATGTCTATCAAGTGCATTGCACTGGTCATTGTAAATGGTATTAATTGTGTGGTTTGTGCTGCAAGGAATAAATAGAGTTTACTGGCATAAAATTCCATTTTTTTTGTCTGCCATTTTTTGGGGGACAAAAGATGCTTTAAAGTAGATCAGCCAAGAAGTTGTGACAACAAAATCAGAAGCACAAGGAATGAGTTCAAATGTCTAAACAAATCTTGAAGAATACATTAAATGAAGATTAATAATAACTTGACTCAGATAGATAGATAGATAGATAGATAGATGTGAATGGAAATAGTCTAAATGTTTTTTCCAGTATAAGAGAAATTTTACATATTTACAAGCAATATTTTGTCATATTTTCATAATATAGAAAAGTACTTTACATTTTCTTCAAAGAATTTTTTATTACCAATCTTATATTTATCTTCAATTTCATTGTTATTACCATTACAAATACAATATTTCAGCTGAATACTTTCAGATAGAACTGAAAATATATTTTCATAAGTCTCATCATCAATGATTTTACAATATATTCATTTCTTTATATCTAAACTTTTATAAATTTCTATTCAGTAACTCTTTCTTATGTCACTGCCTGCAATTAAACTATTTCTATAAAGGATTCAATCATACGCTTTTTTTTATATGATATTTTATTTAATAAGTACCAAAGGTAGCTGACACTTTTGGTTAATTTTAAAATGGCACTATTTTACAGCCTACCTTTTCCTGCCATTTGACTTCCCTTCCACCAACCCTACCCTGAAATAATCAAAAGAACCGGATTCTTCAAAATGAAGGTTTGTGCCAAATTAATTTTCAGGACATCTGGTCGACCACCAACATTTCATAGAAGTTCTTCAAACTTTATTTGCTTTTTAACAACATTTTTTCTTCTTCTAAATCTCGTTGATTTAAGAAATGAGAACATTGAAAATAATCAAAATTGGATTTCTATCCACAAGATATTTCCAGTCTGAAATATTTCATCATATCAGGTTTAAAAGCAATCGCATAAGACTATCTTTAAGCTTTCTATATTTTTTTTATGAAAATAACATCTGAGATTTAATACAAAAAATCTGGATTAATTTTGGAAAGATGAAGTTGATAAAATATATTCAACAGTCAGATTTAAACTCTGATAGTCATGGTGACAGATGTTAACAACAGTTTTTACATGGGATCAAATGAAAGCAAAGCACATGATCAGGTCATAAAATTGATATATACATATGATTATTTTGCTCTAACCATGAAAAAGTATAAAAAAGCAATCAGTTAGCCAGAATAACATCAGCAGACTTATCAGTAGAAAAAGGTAAAATGTAGGGATCAAAAATTCTTGCTCTTCTGTGCAGTCAGAATTGGTCAGAGGAAATGAGTTCCTTGTTTGAATGATAAAAGAATTTCATCTTTTGTTCAATCATCTCATTCTCTCTCCTTAAACAATATTTCAAATAAAGCAAGAATTCTCAACCAAAATTGAAGTTCAAGTTGCATTTTGAAATCCCTACCACAGCACAAAGTTGACTGACTTACAAAAAAATGAAGAAGTATATCATTACAGTTGATGCAGTGACCTTTCAAATGTAGGTCTTGACCAAATTATATTTCCTGAACCACAAGTCTCTCTTTGACATTTGATGTGTGCCAAATATCTTGGCACCTTTTCTCATCAATACTTTGAAAAGCAAGTAAGAAAAAGTTTTTTTTTTATAATTACTTATATTTAATATTTGTATTTATATTTGTTAGTTTTGTTATTGTCAGTAAATTTTATTGAAACAGAATCCAACACGGAAATTGGGACACAAGAATTTAGGGGTGAAGATTAATAGTGAAAGACACTTTTCCGCTACTCATTGATTGAAAAATAGAATTAAAAGTGAAGAATGCTTGACTCTGCTAGACAATTTTACCAGAAATCAGAAACAAAGAGAATATTCTTTTGAACACATATTTCAAGATACGACAAGAAGAAACTTTGTAAAACTTGACTCCAAAAATACAGAGGTTTTGAGTTGATTCTGTTCAAGAGGGTTTAAATGAAATGAAATATTTCAAATATTCTTCCTGCACATATTATGAATTTGATTCCTCTTGGAGAGAGTTCACTGAAGAACATAACCATAATTTCTAGTAAATGTTCATAATCATCTTGAATGGTGATCAATATTCAACTACCCAGCGGTTTTAGAAAGGATATCTTGCACATTAAGATCCTATTCACTCAAAACTGTTTATTTATTGATTCCAGGATAGGAATTATTTGAGATTATTGTTGGTTAAAACTGTTGGAATCATTCGGCAATCAGTGTCACTGAATGTGAGAAAGAACCCCTTAAAAGCGGTGCCAACCATAACAACATAATTTCAGAAAGTGAGTGATAACACACCAATGCAATATATCAAAACCAAGGTTTTTCTTGAGGAGCACACAATCTCCTTTTAATCATTCAATAAGTGTCACTTGTATCAGAAATACTAAGTGCATTTATGGATTTTCTGAGATTTCACTCATTCATTGTTTGGAAGAAGAAATTACACATAACTCGCATAATTCTTTACATTATTCGGACTATTGTCCTCATCTTTGTCACCATATTTATCACAACGCTCCGGCCTTATTCAGGTGGTTGGAATTTCAAACTGAACCCTTTATTTCGCTCACTGGGGTAGACTGTTCTAGTTCCATGTGCCATGTATCCTTAAGGACACATGATACAGTGCATAAAGGCGCTAGTTAGATCCAGTGACAGGACCCAAAGAGTTGTGACTTCAATACCCGGTTAAGGCAGTGGAGAACTTTCAGAGGGAAAATTAGCAGGAGATAACTGATAACTGACATCCATCAAACATGGCACATGGAAATAGAACAGTCTACCCCTGTGAGCAAAATAAAGGGTTCACTTTGACATTACAACCACCTGAAGAAGGCCGGAGCGTACAACAGCCGAAACGTTGTGATAAATATGGCAACAAAGATGAGGACAATAGTCCGAATAAAGTAAATAATGTACATAATATCTAATCTCAGAAATATAGACAAACTCGCAGAATGTTTAAGGGCAGTGTATGTATTGCATTGAATACTACTGCCATATATGGTCTGGAGCCCCTACTCATGGTCCTCAACAAAATCCACAGATGGATATGCAATGTGATTGGTCCTGATCTGGCATCTTGTCTACAGTCACTTTCTCACAGAATTGCCATCATTTCCCCCTGTTCTGATCAGCTACTTTCATTGGTACCCCAACTGCATGAATTTAAGCGTGCTACTAGGTTGGCATCTCGGTCCCACCCTTTCACTGTCGAGACAGTTAAACGTAACTGACTCTTCTACTCTAACAGCTTCTTCACTCGCACTTCCCAACAGTGGAAAACCCTTCCTCTTGCTTGCTTCCCTGATAGGTATAATCTCTAAATATTCAAATGCAATGTCAATCGACATATTCAGATGCCTTGATCTAATTCCCTGCTCTTCTCTTCAAATTCACAATTAGAATAGATATTTGAAACTAGCAATTTCAACGGTGAAGTTATGAACATATTGTCCTGTTGCTGAACCACTAAACCTATGATGCAGGCAGCTTGCATGTCACTGATATTTAACCATATCATAAGACCGCAATACTTCCAGTGTGAATAACATCTTCCAAGTTTTGCTTTGCACGAGGAGGAACAAGGTGTGATATGGATGGCATTAGGGAATCACTTTGCAACTCCTGTGAGTGTGACAAACCTTAGGAAGATATTAATTTCAATTTCCTTTTTTTCAGACATTTTTTCTTCACAACTTTCTCCTTGCATCCTTCTTCTCTCATGCTTTATTTTCTGGTTCTGCCTTCCCAAACCTCTTGCTGAATCGAACAATATATTTGTGATAAAGTAATCGGGAGTAATCTCCCTTGTTTTATGATTATCTCCCTTTGGAGAACACTTTCATTTGTAGAGGACTATAAATAGTCAATATGCTGGTATCAATTATTTTAAGCAGAATAAATCTTTCTTAAGCCTACTGTTGCTCTCTTTTTGTCATTACAATACATTCATGTTCCCAGTTCCTGTATAGCAATCAAGAACAGTTCTCCTGGCTATCGATCATCTTGAGACCATTCCCAGGTGCAACATTAAGAAAGATTTACCAAATTTAGTGAAAATGCTTCCTCTACTTTCATTTTTTTAGTTTTTGTTTGTCTTTTCTTCTTTGTCTCTTGTTGGTTCTCACAAGTTCTTAATAACTTTCCAAATTCTTGATCATTACTTTCTCCCAGTAGATGAACAACTTTTCAATTTGTTATTTTCAATGTAATTGATTTTTCTTGATGTTTAACAGATGAAAGAAAACACCAAAAAATCCAGAATAGATTGAAGACAGTTTTGAACCAGAGAACACTTTTTTTTCACAACTTCTTCCAATCATATTTCCACCTGTTTCTTAATTGCTATTACCATTTCTTTTCATAGTGAAAAAAGATATACCAAAAAACTTTGTAGCTAAATCTGATCCAAAATATGGTAGGATCATGCTATACTTGAAAGTACACAGAAAAAATATGGTTAATGTTATGATTCGGTTCCTTGTACCATGGTGATAGTCCAAGGTAGAACCAATAAAGAAGAACTCGAACACGTATATGGAATAACACAGATATATTACAAACAGGAATATATACAGACAAGTAGAAAGTGTTAGTACGCACAATCAGGTTTAGTAGGGAGAACAATGTAGTCTCAACCAGTATCACTATTCCAATGTCTTGTAGTAATTGTCTGAACGCGACTCTGTTTCGGACTGCCTCTGACTCGACTGACTGACTCGCTCGCTCTGACTGACTGACAGACTCCTGACAGACTTCACTCCAGACTTCAGACTGAACTCCCTGCTTCCTCCTGAGGCAGAGTATTTATTATGTATGGAATAATCCATTATGTTATTATGAGTAAGGTCCCTTAACAGTTAATATTAAGCCTATTTGAGGCCATAGATGACACAACTGCCCACCCTAACATCAATAAAAGATACATTTGAATTCAGTAGCTTGTCCAGTAAAATCAGAAATGAATTTAACAAAAACATTTCAATAGTAGCTAAAGATGACAATGTTAGTGTTTGTATGAATAGTTTTTTGTAATTATAAAACTACTGCTACTACTACTACTACTAATAATAATAATATGTAAAATGGGTGTGATCTTAGGGTTTTTTGGTGGTGATGTCTCAGAAAATGCTCAGT